CATCGTGGTGAGTAGATGTCACAGTTTCATTTAATCTCATGTGCCAGGCAGTGTTTTGCTTAAAGACATGCATGTGACTCTTTGATGAGCTGAGGAGGAGAGGAGAGGCTGAGCCTGGTCACCTTCAGCCTTCTGCTGACACTTGAAATAACTGGGGCCATTTCCAGGACACATAACGCCAAGATGCAGGGTGCTTCCTACCCTGTGCCCAGGGTCTGCCACCCTGAGAGAGTTTGGGGTGAATCTTTGTCTAATGTTCTCTCCTTTCTTCCAATAACTAGAAATAAATAGAAACTTTTCAAATTTCTATGGAAAATGTCCATTTTTCTCTAACCTCAAAGTTCACTTGCCTTATAAGGATGTCAGTGATGTAAATTTAGTCCATCCATTTCATTTTTGATGAATTTCTACATGGCCTGTGTCAGCAACTGTGTCTGTTCTAGTCTGCCGGCTAACTCTCCAGGCTGCTGCTGCTCACCGTGAAGGTTTCTTTTGTGAATCCATCCTCAAAGTCTCCATCCTGACACGTGATGTTGTACTGAAGTAGTAAGTCAGTATCTTCATTGTGTTCCTAGATTGTGGTGAGGACTGTTAAGAACTACAAAGATGGAAAAGTAAGCCTCGCATGGTAGGTAGCACATGCCTTTAATCCCAGCACCAGACAGGCAGAGGCAGGTGGACCTCTGTGAGGTCAAGGCCGGTCGAGGAGAGACCCAGGCATCTCATAACAACAACAACAAGAACTACAACAAAAGATTAAAAACATAGTCACAAACTTGCCAGACTTGAGTTGCTATAACTCAAGATGATCTCACCCCAGTACAGTGAATCAAGGAGCAATAACCTTATGTTTTAATTTAAGAAATAGATTCACTTCCCTGCCAGCTCATTTGGAAGCCAGTCCGGATGGGACATTACCTCCCATCAGAATGCAAAGCCACCCTGTTTTGTTTTTTGTTTTTTCTGCTGCTGCTGCTGTTTTTCTTCTGTTACTGTGTGAAGCAACGGGAACCACTGAGACATTTTCATGCACACGTCATTGTGTTTTCCTGTGTTCGTCCTTACTGCTGTTCCTTCTTCTTTCCCCTCCCACTGGTCCTCCTAGCGAAGTCTATTTTTGAAACTACCTTTCTGGAATCAGAGGCACCACTGTTGTGCCCCGAGGTCCATGCAGAGACCCATAACCAAATGTCAGGCAGAGCTCAGGGAAGCCCGCGGAAAAGGAGGAGTGCCGGCCGGGGTCCAGCTTTGGCTCATGTTCAGGTCCTGAGAAGGGGAAGGGGCCTTAGAGGAAGGAAAGCATCTGACCACCAGGTGGATTGCACTTAAGTGCCCTGGAATAGCTCGAGCTGTCTTTATTTATACTTTAACAGAGTTTTTTTTGTTTTTTTTTTTTCTACCAGGCTTGCATAAGTATTGGCCCTTATTTTTGACTTTTAAGAAATATTTTGTATTTTAAGAAATACATTGTAATCACTATAAAAGACCCCCTTGTTCTCCTTTATGCTTCCCCAAATACACTTTCCCACCCCCTACATAACCTTCTTGTAGACACAGAGTTCAGTATTTTTCAGGCTTAACTAAATCCGGAGCCAGACACATCCTGCTCTTGCAGTACTTACCTCATCTGGCAGCTACTTGCAGTTACAAAGTCAGAAAGTAATGAACATGGATACAACACTTTAAGGACAACAATACTAAACCCCACACAATTCTTTCCTGTCTGCAAGATATGTTTTTATATAGTTCACTTTTCCACAAGAAGGTCCCAACTCTATCTCTGTATAAAAGGCAGACTACCATACTTCTTCCATCATATAAGCTCCTATGTATAGTAAAGATGACTCTATCCATCCCATATTTTACACTGCACATTTTCCTCTTGGAGCCTACCAGAGCCTACCATTGATTCTATATGCTTGGTGTCCAGGGGACTTACTCTCAATGGTAGGCACCATGTGCATTCCTGAGACTTTTCCCTATTCTGTGTGCACATTCCTTACTCTCCTTTCCAGAACTGTGAGACATGGTTAAAGTTCCAAGTGCTGTTTTGTCATATGTACCTAACTATCTCTATTGAGTCAGAAAAGCTACCCGGTTTAGGAGTTGTAGTTAGCAATTCCAGATAAGAGATTTGAGAGGCATTAGTCCCCTGATGAATTTTATTGGAAAATATTCTGAAAAAATACAAAACAAAACAAAACAGAATTTCCAGGTAAAATTACAGCTGTTGCATGTGTGACTGACAGAGTAAAACTAAAATTGCCCAAAAAAGAGAGAGAAAAGAACCTGCAAAATGCAGGAATTTTGTAAATTCCTATTCTGTCCCAGGTCTACTGATCCTTGCCAAGTGAGACTCCATGGGTGCCAGGCCCCTGGGATACCTATTGGATAAGTAGTCATTTGCTGATCCAAGACTAAGATGCACAGCTCTCTAGGGGAGGAACAGTTCTAGAAGCCAGAGGAGTCAAGGACACTAGGAGAACACAGCCGGAAGAATCAACTGCCCTGGCCTCCCAGGGGCTTCTAGAGACTGAAGCAACCACCACGGAGATGGCGACGGGTCTATGCCAGGTCCTCTGTGTGTGTGTGTATATATATATATGGTTGTTTAGTTTTGGGGGTTTTGTGGGACTACTAACAGTGAGAAGGGTGGGTGTCTCTGAATCTTTTGTCTGATTTTGGGACCCCTTTCCTCCCACTGGGCTGCCTCATCCAGTCTTAATATGAGGGTTTGTGCCTAGTCTTATTGCATCTTGTTTGGTTGGTATTCCTGGAAGGCTGGCTCTTTTCTGAAGGGAAATGGAGGTGCAGTGGATATGGGGCAGAGGGGAGGTGGAGGGTGGGAAGAGTGGAGGAAGGGGAGGTTGTGGTCAGGATGTATTTTATGAGAGAAGAATAAAGAAAAAAAGGAGGGAAAAACCCCCTACTTTTCTAAAGGACTTTCTGTAGTATTATGGTGCCGTCTTACTCTGACAGTGTTCATTTCATTCAGAAAGAGAGACATCACTTATTAAATATGATCATTGAGGTTTGTGGAAAGGAACAGAGGGCTGGAAAGAAGCATGCAGTCCCAGACAGATGGACAGACAGAAAGGCTTTGAAGAAAATTGAAAAGTCCATCAGGGCTCTGAGATGCATTGAGTGTCGACACTTTTAGTACATTCTAATCTCCGACTAAATACTTGGTTTTTATTTCAAGCTTGTTCCTTTACACTACTGCAGTTGCTATAAGTGCTGCAGCATGTTTCTTTATGTGCTAAGGATTTGCAGCAGTGTTCTGCTCTCTATAATGCAATGGCTCAGGTACTAATAACCCCATTTGTCAGGGGAGATGAAAGGCAATAACTGATATTCCTAGAAGAGTGAGGCTGCCTGTATCTACCTGGTACAAGCCTAGTCTCCATAGTTCATGTTGTCAGAGACCCTCAGGACAGAGATCTACAACCATATTTAATACTTTATACAAAGGAAAGGCAGGAGGCTTGCAGAATTGCATTTCAAGAATATAAAACATGCACAAATTCCAAAGTTTGAATCAAGCATATTGAACTATTTCACGCTGTAGAAAGTGCCCATCATTTGACATGAATTCCTAGTTTGGGAGACAGAAGCTCTTAGAGTTACAAGAGCAAGATCCTCTCCCAGACTGCAGTGAATACAGCCTGCAACATTCAGTCTCCTGTGGTGTTACCTGTGTTGGAAAGGCAGGGATAAAACAGCTACAGAGCCACCTGGAAACACTGTTGCTCCTGATGTCACAGGGCAGCTGCAAAGTCCACCCTGACTGTTCCTGTGAACGATCAATTCACACCAGGGATGTGCCAACCAGTTATTTTTATAAGATTTATTTTATTTTTAAATATCTCTCTGTGTGCTTTGCCTGCTAGGAAGTGCCCTCTTTTCACGACTTATCCCGGCAGAGACCAAAAGAGGGTGCCAGGTCCTTTATTCATTTTTAAATAGAATTTTATGGAATCCCTTACTTGAACATGTCTTTGTTTTATAACACCATGCCTAATTAATCTTTTAATCCGCACGATAAACTTCTAAACATCTAGAACTGCTCCAGGCTCCCTTAAAGGTCCCAAAGCCACTCACTGGGCATCCAGTCTTCCTCTGAACACCATAGCAGAATCCCATGGTTCCTACATGGCACCCTCCCTGGGGGCAGCCTGCTGATTATTTGATTTTTTTCAAAGGCCTTGTTCCCAGTGGCTAAAAATAGAGAGCATAGTTCCTGTGTTCGTTGGCCATTTCTGCTGCCTCTTACAGAAGTGTTCAGCTGGTTTGCCTGGGAGTTGATTGGGTTGTATCCTCAGGGTGGCTCTTTGCAGCTGCTCGGTGACAACATGACATCAGGAGCAGCAGTGTTTCTAGGTGGCTCTGTGGCTGTTTTTTTCCTGCCTTTCCAACACAGCTAACATGAGTGGGGAGTCTGTGATGGGTGCAGGCTGTCTTCAGGGCAGGCTGGGAGAGGAGCTTACTCTGAGGATCCTGCTGTGCCCTGAGTTCTTTTCCCTGAGATTTTTTTGTACATTCCCAGAGCTTCAGTTCCTACATCATGGCTTTGAACAGGTTTTCACTTTTTTTGGTGAAGTATAAGGAATATGGATCTAGCTTCTGCCTTCTGTCTGAGGCTACACTTTCCTCAGTGTGTTTTTGGTGAAGGTGCATTGGTTTGTATTTAGACTCTCTGCTTTATCTTCTTGATCTACAACTGGTTTTTGTGTCAACATCTTGATTTTGTTGTTACTAGTATAATTTGAGATTATGTAATTAAGTTCAACACATAGCTTGGAAATTTAGATTTCTGTAAAAGTCTTCAAGGAAGTTCTGGGTCAATAAATCTGAACAATAATATAGATCATTACCTTATTCTCCAGAAAACTGAGTGGCTTTAAAAGATTTTTTTTTTTTTTTGCTCATACTTATCATGATTTACTGATTTCTTCAAAAAGGTGCTTGCTGGATCAAGTATTTCTGCCTCAGATATAAGGATGATTTTGGACCCTGTGAAGGGCACAGTCTTCCTCTGTCTCACAGGGCTTGGCACCATGGGGAACATCTCAGTTTTTGTGAGTTACATGCACACGTTCCAAAGCACAGAGAAGAAACCTATACACCTCATTCTTGCCCACTTGGCACTCACAAACATCATAATGCTTCTTTCGAAAGGGATGCCGAAGACTATAGAAGCCTTTAATTTTAGAAACTTCTTAGATGTCACCAGTTGTAAAGTTGTAGTTTACCGGGCAAGAACATCCCGGGGCCTCTGCATCTGCACCAGCAGTCTCCTCACTGTGGTCCAGGCCATCACCATCAGCCCCAGACACTCCCGATGGCAGAGGCTCACCCTAAAGACTCCACAGCACATTGTTTCCTCGCTGCTCTTCTTTTGGATACTCAATTTCTTGATCAGCATGAATTTACCATATTACATCAAAAGTATCAACAGTGTGAACATAACACAGGTTAAAAAA